AGTTATTACATAAATAATAGATCTACATCTACCTACGATTTTATCAGAGAATCTTAACCTTCTCCTTCAAAATTCAGATTAATTTTAGGTGGGCACATTTATACCGATAGGGGCAAATATATTTTAGGGCAAGGGATGCTGTAGCATCCCAGCATCCCAGCCAGTCCGCGCCTGCCTATGTGGCCTAGTAATGATTTTAAATGGCCTGCAAAAACGTTGGCACCAACAATAAAAAAGTTGAAATGTGGCCCCTGGCCTATATCTCTATTAACAAAAAATTTCAGAAATAGGTTATTAGCCATTGGGAACCTATGTAAATGTAAAATAACAATAAAAAATGGTTTAAAAAATGTATTCATTTACTAAATTTCACCAGTAAATTTACCGACAAATTTTTACCGGTAAATTCCACATCTCTACTCACTCTTTAGCGGAAGTCCTAGCCTATCAGCATAGTAGATGACCATACTATAATATTATTGTCTATTTGTTTGTATCCCACGGGTCTCTCGGACATCGATATTATTGGGTTTATAACCTAAATTGTAATATTAAGAATGTATAAAATACAAAGTATACTTACTCTTTTTTTTTGGTTGTTTCTTTCACATGATCTAAATGTAACGAATTTTGCTGGCTGTTTAATATTTTAGGCGCGTTTTCAGGAAGGTTGGAATGGTGGGTATCGGGAGTATAATATCTTCGATTGCTATTTTCAACTGATCCAAACCCGAAATCGTCATCGTTATATGCACATTCATAGTTTAAGTTCTGTAATTATAAATGATTAGTTAAAATATATAGTGGTATATTAGGTGCCACGCTTATAATGTCTATATAGTATATATATTTAAGAAGGTAACACGACAAGTTACAACTTTAACACTGCTGGTATGAGACAGTGGCGGATTTAATGGATTTATCCTAGTTCTGAAAGGAAGGAGGGGGGGGGTTAATTTCAAATCTAACTTATCTATTATTTTAATGATATAAACTTAATAAATAACGAATGTGTATACATGGAACAAACGCTCATCCAGCTCCTTCACACTACATTTTTTTTTAAATATATAAAAAACAATTAACATATAATTAATAAATATTCATTATAAAATATAAGTAAGAAATCATACTTTACATTTCATAAAAAACCCTAATATTACTAACAACCCATAAGTATAAATATACATATTAATAATAATAATTAATAACTAAATATAAATCATAAATTAAGTTTGATATTATCTTTAGATAACCTAACCTATGAGATATTTATTTTACGTTCATGTACGGATGTACAAATTTGTATTTGCAGTACTTAACTTTCATAGACCATAGAAATAATGCTTTAATTTCCTTAAAAATTCGGTGGGGGGGCTCACCTATGGCTACACCATTGAAGTATATAATTTATCTTTAAATATATATGTTTCATATTTATATATCAAACTAAGTAGGTAGTATTTACTTCCTAATTCCTGTACTATCAAGGCACTCAAATTGTATAGCCTCACAGATACTTTTCAATGAACATGGGTATAGTTACCACATAACCTATTGAATTTCAAATTAGATCCGGTTGCACTCCTCTTTCGTGTCATATTTTTATACAGTAGTTTTGATTCATCGAACCATGCTTTTAAAATCAAATGAAATCTGTAATCAATGGTAACATTGCACTATTCTTACCTCACCAATCGTAACTGTTAAGTTGAAAAATGTCATGTATTTTGGAGTATGGTAGATGCTAAGTAGGCACCTAACTAAATGTTTGATAATATGTATTATGATTAGGTATAAGGATGGGCAAGATACTCAAAAATCAGTATTGCGATACTAGATACTTGGATTTGGAGTATCAAGAGCCTCAATACTTACATTTTAAGTATTAAGATACTAGAAACTCGAAATATAATTATTCCCAGGTTTTTTTTAAAAATTGTATTTGTACACATTTAGGTATATATATATATAAATTAGTTAATATACACCACATATTTAATAACTTAATAATAATATTCAACAACACTATTAATTATTATTCATGTGCATAATTATTTGGATAGTCACAAACTATATAGGCAATAAGTAATAACTTAATTATTAAACGAGTATTACATATTTTGATAAAAAACGTAAATACTGATTATTTTAATACTATAGTCTATAATACTACTAATTTATTATTAAACTAATTACTTGGTATTGAATTATATTTATATTTTATACCGATAATTTTAGTAGGTTATGTACAATATATATGTTATAAATGTTTTATGATATACTGTGTATTGTATAATAAAAGTTACTAGTCAGGGTTGAATTTAATTGATATTGCTCATAACGTCTGAAAAACTAATAATTTATTTATTTATTTAGTATAATTTAACGTCTTGTTAATTTTAAAAATACTAATTTTTCAAAAGTAATATCTGATAATTTATTTCTAGTAGGATTATGAATAAATCCTGCCAGGGAAAACATATGTTGCTGAATGGATGCAGAAGTGTCACAGTCCAAAGATGTAACAAAATATGGCTAATGGGATGAAAAATAATTTCCTAAAAGTTAGGAAAAGTTAGGTTACAGCTTTCGAAAAATCATCTGTAACTACGTATTTGTATTTGTATTCGCAAAATAAAATTAATTATGACAGTATAAATCAGAATTGTTGATAATTTGAAATTAATTAATACTGCAATTAAATTATGGCATACTTATTAATTTAAATTTGCCACTCCCTTTACACATATTGTACTAAACATAGTCAAACAGTTGTGGTTGGTATATTATTATGTACTACTACTAGGTAGGAGAGGGAAAATCATTGTAAACAATTAATTTTTCAAGGTAACTTATTAATGTATTAAGTATCTTTCAATTAAATTATTGTATGAAATACTCGATGCATTGACTGAAAATGTAACGAAGATACTCGGTACTTCATATAATTGTATCGAGATATAAGATACAAGATACAATTGTATCTAAGATACTGCCCAACGGTGATTAGGTATATGATAGACTGTAGAAAAATGTTAACAATTTTTAATAAGTTGTGTATTTTATAGGCGATAAAGCCATGTTGAGTGACGGCCCTTGAGTCTAGACCAATTTATGGAGGGAGGGTATCTATGTGGTATTTATTCTTTCAGTAATAATATTTTGGACCTTATCGTTAAATCCTAAAGCGTCTTGATACCGATTTTCAGTGAAGTTGTAAGCTTGAGATTCCCAGTCGGCGATCTACCTACTGCCGTAAAGGCGGGTTCTCACTATACCGTGTCATTAGAGTTGAACATACCTGTTTAATGTAGGTAGTAGGTTGTAGGTTTCGTACTACCATCTGTATCATACCAACATTTTGTTACCTATGTATTAAATATTGCGAGCACGACATGACATATATTATAAGTGTAGTGTAAACTCCGCAAACATCTTATAATTCATATTTTTTTTTATAAACTGTTTAATTTGATAACTCTATTTAGCTATTACTAGGATTACTTATATCTTATATCATTAAAATTTCGAAGTGAGCTTGACAATTTCTAATACAGTATGTTAATTAATTGGGAAATAGCTCTAATTTGAAATGTAATACAGATATTGAGGTCCGAATTTTAATGTAATATATGACTAATAAACTCCTCTTTATTATACGTACCTAGTTAAAAAAAACACTGAATGTAATTTAAAAAAAAAATATTTTTATCATCTTTCATAGTAGGTATCTAATCAATTTTTAAAATGATTAAATTATAATATAATAATATACATGATTCACAGAGTGGAGAAACATCCCGCTCTCGACACTCTCAAAATCATAATCTTAAATATTCTAAATAGTTCAGGTAAATATTAGTTTATTTCATTATTTGAGATTAACTATAATCTATATAAAGTAGGAATATAATTGAATAGACTACCTATTAAGAATTAAGAGTACCTATTGAGTAGGTACCTAACTATTATAATATAATTATGGAATATCAGAAATACCTATTTTATGGCTTTAATAATTAATTCATATGTATTTAATAATATGAAGTGTGTACTTACTCTATTTATGGATTTCTTTTTGCTTGATGGTGGGCGAGATAATTTACTATTATCATATTTTTGTTGTTTTGATTTTTTTGCTGTAGAACTAATTGTCGAATTACAATAATGTGGTAGAACTCTGTAAATACTTTTAAATATAAGAACATTGAAAAACTATAGGTACCTACCTATGTAAAGAACAAAAACTACCTACCAAGGAAGTCTTTCTGTTATATAGTATAAGTTTCGAGTGTTTTGGGAGGGTCAATTTTTTTTTTAATCACACCCGCAGCCTGCCGCAGGCTTCAATTTTGCATCCCTTAATTATTGATCATAACGCATTATATCCCCATATAAGCCATGACCCATTTTTAATAATTCAAATTTTACTTCAAAAATAAAATGTAACAAAATAACTATTGTCCTTTTAATATAATAATAACAATATTATATGTACCTATATTGTTTACAATTTCTATAACGAATAAATGACTCTTGATTTTTAATTTATATCTGTACGACTGTGCCTATTACATAGATGCTAGATAAATATTGGGAGGGGGGCTTAGCCCCACCTGCCCTCCACCTAATTACGCCTATGAGTGTACCTCGTCATTGAGTAACCTATATTATTACAATAATTGAAATGGATGGGTTAAATTTGAATTTATTGATAAATCATTGCGAAGGTTTGTAGCCGAGTTCAGTAAAAAAGGTGGTTCAATTCTAACCAAAGCCAACCCAATTCATCATTCAAAATCTGAATAAAATGAATCTAAAACTAATTTAACAATAGTGTCAGCCTTTTATTGAGTTTTATACCATAGGCCCATAGATTAGCTTTTTAAGGAGGCACTCAATGAACAGCCCTGGGCTCTACAAAAAAAAAAAAATTGCCCCAACAAATTAAGTGCGGTTAAATATTTCAACAAATAAAAAATTTAAGGAACCTCAAGTAACGGCCATAGCCAGGCTGACACTACTATAAGCTGTATAGCTTAAAAAGTATTAGTCTAAATATTTTAAAAATTGCATTGTGTAATGTGTATAGTCGTATAGATAATGATAATTCAAGCTATAGTGGAATGTCTCTATGATTAATATTATTTTAATGATAATAAAATAACTAAAATCGTTTGAAAATAAATAGTTATAAATATACCATTTTAATATCTTGGTCGTCAAAATTTAAACTTCAATCGCCCAAAATCAAATGTCGGAAAATGTATGTGATTTTAAATTTATCTTTTTTTTTAATTCTAGAAAACTTATAAGGAATCTTGTAGTGCATCAAAATTCATAAAAAAAAGTATTTTATTATTTCATTAATATTTGTACGTTATGTTTGTTTTTTGCAAGAAGAAAATATTATGGATGTTTTTTATCTTGTAATGTATCTGGTAATGATTACAATTGTTATGTATGTCTACTTTTTAAAATTTCCATATTCTAAGTTCACGTTCGATAAATTAATTTTTTATTTGAAAGGTGGGACTTGTTAGGAGTATGACGGTGCATTATTTGTTTCCTCTCTCTAACCCAAAAACAAGCCACAACATAATGTCAAATTTACGTTCAACAGAACGGAACTTTTGTTGTTAGCTTTAGTAGTAGAGTGAATTGACTATTATCAAACTTTTATTAAGACAATTGTCTGAGTCATACGTTTGCTTTTTTTACAATGTTTGAAATTATAGCAAGATATGAGAATTTAAAAATTGTAACATTTTACATAGGTTCTTATACCTCAAATTAAATTGAAATACTGTAAAAAAAAACCAACATATTATGTAAACAGATAATGTTCTGATGTTTGGTAATTGGTGAATTCACACTCAATTACTAAAGTTAACAATACCAGGTTGCCGGTTGGGAGGTTGAACTCAAATTGTGTATGCGGGACATGCCTCACTGCAGAAAGAGAAAACAATAATAATTATAGTAATAAATAATAATATAGTGGCGCTGACATACTCTTAAGTATTAATGCATTTATTGGATTTACATACAAATATAAAAGATATTTGAAATCAAAGTGGTTTTCAAACTTTTTTTTATAATTCAATTTAATTGAAAATTTATGTAGGGAATTTGATCATTGTTTTATAAGTATTTGAATACAAAATATATAACTTCAATTTTAATTTCCCAAAAATAGTAAAACAAGTGCTGATACATTATTGATTATAGAATGTATTATTTATTCCTTTTATTCACATCTATTCCAGGATAAAAAGTACGCCATCTCGAAAATGTATTTGATTATTTTGATATATTGAGAGACTAGGACATTATAAGACAAAATATGAAGAATGGTACCTAATGTCTACTTAATTTCTCGTAATACTTTTCTTTTTCTTTTCGTTTGAGCATCTTAGAGTAAAATCACATTTGAAAAAAACTATAGAGGAATGTATTTTTGTGGTTTTGATAATACATCGATATGGTATTATATTGTATTATTATTGGAGTTTAAAAATTGAAAATATAAATTGTAAATTTAAATATACATGATATATATTCAATTATTTTGAGACAACATTTAGACAAATCGAAATGTCTACCCTCAAATATCATATGATGTATCATTTTTGTAATGGGTGATTTTACTCTAAGATTACAAGAAAAACATTGAAAAAGATTTTAAGCAAATGCGTTTTGTCTACGTTGTGCTTTAATTAGAGATAGAAAATAGTGCGCTGCCATCCACTTATATATTATTTACTGACGGAATACTGGAATAGAAATGTTAAAAAAAATGTAATTTCAATTAAATGGTAATATAAAAATAAGAGGTCTATAATCTGTCTTTAATAGCCTGGAACGTATACCTACTAATGTTTATTAGTATTTATTTATCTTCTATACATTCATAAATCTACCCATTGTCCTAAAGCCTATATATCAGGGGCGGGCCAACTTTTTTTGGTCACGATCTACTAAAAATATACTTCACCTTTGAGGATCGACTTTTATAGAAAATTTTTTTTTATTGTTGAATAACTATAATTATTAAGAAACATACCTTCATAAAGTGTATACAAACATACAATAAGTATTATAAACTAATTACCAATTACTAAAAATTATATAATAAAATAAATTCTAACAGGATCGACTTTGAAATTGTCCGCGATCGACCAAGGCTGTAACTGGTGACGCGGGTGCCATGATCCCCTCTTTCCATAATTGTTTAAAAGTAGAACAATTTTAGTTGTAAATATTGTTTATTAATCAAAAATACTATATTGATTATTTTTGTAAAAGCTGTAATAACCAGCTAATAAAGAGTATTTTTTTAAACGTAATTCGACAAAGTGTCTAGTATGGGCCTGGCAGTGCCTATCATCTATATTAACTATTAAGACAATTTTGTACCACCCCTCCCCTGAAATAATTTTTTCAGTAACTGCCCTGTAGAGTAGTAGTGTATACCTACTATATGTCTATATAGGTACTCATTATAATATTTGTAGAATGGTGATTCCTATGATAATAATTTTAGTTTAAGTCAAAATTCGTTAACCCTAGGTTAAACCATGGTTGCATTTTTCTCATGTGTTGTAATATTTAAAATAACTTACTGAAAATCACGAATATTGATAGTATTTTTTAATAATCTTTTACTTGGGCATGCTTCTGACCAACAGTTTACTCTAGGTCTTACATCATATATCTTTTTAAAGTGACTTCTCATTGTCAGATACGTTGTAATATTGTCTTCTGAAAATATAAATTATAACAGTTAAATTATTTAGGTAGGTAGATGATAAATAAAATGGACATAATTACTGATTAGCTAGGTACCTAAACGAAAAAATAATTTTCTTAAATGTATACATTATAATAAAATCAATATAGCCATATATGGCCGGTTGTTGATAATCATTATTTATTACTAATAACGATGTTCGTGATTATATTTATAATTTGATTGGCATTTGGCTCTTTAGTCATTACTCATTAGTCATTAGTTTGATTGTCCGAGTAGTATGCTATATGATTATAAGTCTACTTTGAAACGTTCGATGTTTCTGTATTAGTTCTCACTTTTTATATGATAAACTACAATACTAAAATCCAAATTCATCTAAAGACGTCGATAACACATTAATTCTAATTTCTAACTCAGATTTATTTTATTTTATTATCTACCTATAGATAATTTATCTTTTAAAACACAGATGCCGAAATTGTATATTACTATATTTCCATAATTTATGTTACAACACATCAACTAAAAAAGTCCAAAATAATGAATAAAGCATTATTACTTATAGTAGTCAACGAAGCAAATAGATTTTTAATCTTATAACTGTTTTTTAGTTATTTGTATGGATGTCAGATATTTGCCAACATTTTTTCTCAGATACAACGTTCGTAATAGAGTGACATAATTTTATCTTCTTAATAAGTAAAATGACAAGCAATCGGAACTCCCAACGTCACTCGGTTTAGGGGACGCCAGTGTTGCCGTTTAGGCGTTCCCGGAACCTATTCTCCTACGTCGCACGTATTTCTCGCTTTTTTCCATTTTGCTCTATCGGTTTCGTCTTTTCGTACACCGCTTGTGCCCGAATCACGTAGTGAACTTCTTTTGAAAGGAGTACCCGAGTACGTATACGGTTTTCACTCGAAATCGGTTCTTACGCATCGGAATGGAGTTAAGAAATGACGCGGACGTTCAGTCGTCCGCGTATATGTAAATGTATATGTAAATGTCGAATATGATATTTGTGAAGAACTCAACGTATCCCATTCAAATTTTATGATTTCAAACTGTAAAAAGGGTGGTGTGTTATTTATTTGATATGATCGTAGTTTATACTATAACGGTTCTGTATAAAGTGTTTCATGTTATCGGTCGTAAAGCGCCAAGCGGTTCGCACAACATGGATTTACTATATTATAAGCTCTTACACTGTTTTTTTTAAAATACAAATTAAACCATAGGTACTACTAAATTTGTTGTTTTGTCCTTGGTATTCATAATACACTAACATTTATTCATAATATACCTATATTTATGGTGGATCTTAGTGATCTTACAGGATCGAATACGTTTGAAGACTACAGTGTACTACAATACTTTTTTTAGAGCGACTAGAGGCATAATATATAGAATGCCACTTTGAGTGGCATACTATATTTGTTGTTATTGAATTTTTAATTAAGCACACAAATTGTGTAATCATGCAATGCAATATAAGTACACAACTGTTCAGTGTTCATCAAAGGTGTTAGTGTGTACTACACAGAGAGTATATTATATTATAATTCATAATTAGTTATACATTTATTAATTAAGAGTTAATTAATGGTAGACGGTAGTTAAATTATATAAATATATAATAATACAAGTGTTAAGTCCACAACTTGTCCAACTTTTATGAGAATTAAATTAAGTTAGTAGGATTTCAACGATATATGAAATTATGAACAGCCATTTTTTTACAAGTAAACTGCATATTATAATTTATTTTCATAAATTTACTTAACTTACATTGTGTTCAATAAACATAGTATTTTAAAATTACCATTAATTCTATGATAAAATACTGGATTTTATTTTGCAATTAGTATTCTGCATTTAATGACTAAACCGTCAAAATCGGTAAGTATAAACTCTCTGCGAGTCTCATAGATATTAGATGGGTTATTATTATTATTATTATTATTATTATGATTATTGTGTTTTTTTCAATACATTTTATCCTTTTCACTCGATTTTTTCCTTTTTTGACCACATTTCGGCCCCTTTCGTATTTTAGTCGCGTTCCTCATACATTCTTGAATCCGTGCGTATTCGGGTTTCGTTCGTTTTAAGCCCGTAACGGTCTCGAGTCTTTAATAAAATTGTTATATAAAATAATGACAATAATATGCCATCGACGGTCACAAAAAAACCAAAAAGTTTAGGAATCACTGACACAAACTCGTAGATACCTACTATAATAATATTATAGATAGGATTTAATACTCTACGGAGTCTGTAGTACAGACGACAAAAGTACTGCTTGTGACATGTTGTAGCCTGACATAACACGCATCGTCTTTTGTCTGGTTTTATGCGTAATACTAAATAAAATGCTTAGTTTTTATCATTTTACTTTTTAATACGAATCACGAGTACAGTTGTACAGAATAAGTTTATATAGCAAGACAATATTTATCTTGTTATGTAACATGTCTATAATAATATAATAGTTACCTATATGGCTATATAAATTATAATATAATAAACAATAATATAACTACTATTTATTAAATAATACACATTTTATTCACTACCTTTTTTTATTTTAATTTTTTATTTTAAAGCATAATTACAATTTATTAAAGTGTATGTACAATAAATATAGGTTCTATATAGTGGTACCTACTTACCTAATTATTGTCTATCAGACTATCAGCAGTACGAATATTATTGTGTGATCATATTTTATAACTTATTAATAATATATTTTACATATGTATTACATATTTACATGGTACCTGTGTCGTATGTTCTTAAGTTTTTTATATTACATAATGTAGTTTTTCACATTCACATGAAATATATTGGATATCGGTACCCATAAGACTATAATAATGCTTCATAGTTAAGACTCTAAACTTTAAAGTAATACATTGTAAACAGGAATACTACCAACTACTTACTATAATTACATATAGTTATTCCTAATTGTTTCTAATTGTTCTATGTAATTGAGTTGTGGAATGAAAATGCCCAAGCCTAAGAAAAACAAATTCCTGGAATACAATATTACCCACTAAGCATATTTTAATGAAAGAGATTGAATGGATATTTTTTAAATGTTTACATCATTATTAATATTTAATTACAAATATATAAGTTATTGCTGATACTTGTAAGTCATTGAATATATCATATTTTAATATAGAAAAGTCTAATAATTATTAAAAATTAAAAATAACTTATTAAAGAATTATCAAATTAAAAAACCAAATTAAATATTTTAATGTTTAAAATAAATACTGAAAAACATTTAAATTACTTTTATACTTATATTAGCATATTCAAACATAAATAATAATATTTTTTTGAGATGATTGCTCAGAATCTAAAACTAAATAATAGTTAATAAGTACTCTCAATATATTAATTGAAGTTCTCACATTATCGTAAACATATGAGAAAACAGACAAGTGTAGGTAATTATTAATTTATTGACTGTTATTATTTATTTCAAAATTAAATATTATATTATTTTATTGAAATATTTACGGGGATTTCTTTCTTGGGAATTTGTATACAGATTTCCATATAATTGGAATCATGCTAATATGTCATAGGTACTGGTAACCTTATAATATTTTAGTTATAATTATTAATTTACATTTAAATCAATCTTTCCCAATTTAAACATGTTAAATAATTTTAATAAAGTTTTTAAAATAAATATTTAATTCATTAAATAACTTAAATCATCATATAATTATATCAATAATAATTCAATAATCGTTAAAGAAATAGAGAATAATAATATAAACATAAAAATAACTTATTTTTACAGATTTATAAAAAATTAAGGTAGGTGTAGCCGGTATAGGTATTGTATATTGTTTGTTGATATGAATAAATGATTATTAATTAGGGGTAGTGAAATATATAGGCATATAGCTAGGTAATAATACTTTAATACGCACCTTGAATCTTCATTTTTACTGCTGACATGAAGAAATATTAATTTTAATAGAACAGTATTGTACAATTTTATAATAAATATGAAAAGTTTAAAGAGTTTCCTTATACTAACATATTGCAGAACATAATACTAAGTATTGTTTGTATGCACTAACTTCTGATTGTGTTGCTATGGTAATACTTTCTACGTTGAACAGTAGGTAATATAACAAATAGTCAGTTGGTAATAACTAATAAATAATGAACTGTTATAACTTGTATAATACATTATTAATATTTAATACAAATGTTATAACAAATCAAAATAATTGACTACGAGGTATTAAAAGTATACATTATACCTTACTCTGACTCCTAAATATCATTATAGGTACTAATAATTTCAGTGAATTGTGTAGGTAAGTACGTATTATTCAACTACCTATATTGCAGTGGCGTCGTTTCAGATTTTAATAGAAGCGGGCAAAAGTTTTGACCAGCAAAAATAGCTGGAAAAAACCGATCGCTTAGTTTGCATGCACATATAATATATAAATATATTACCTATGTGCCTTTTCCTTCATAAGACACACACATACATATACTAACTTTCATGCACGGCCACTCATGCGTGCAAATATAAAATATGTATTCCAACTATTAATTGGCATTTAGTATCTCTATTTATAGTATTTACCAATTTAACATTGCTGGACAATAATTTGTTAGTGAGCACACTATACAATATTATATAAATAATAATAATCTTTTGGGTTTAATAAAATAAAATTTTGGGCAAAGAACCGGGCAACGAGCCATCGGGCTGCTCTTAAAGTCAGACAGGGGCAAATGACCATCTTGATACCCCACAAAACACAAATGACGCCACTGCCTTATTAGTATACCCATATCGTATATATTTAGTACTTTTGGTTTTTGAAAATCGATCAGCCAAAAGTTAAACAAAGTATTGTATAGAAATGTTTAACGTGAATACGTCAGATTTGTGACTTTTATTAGTTCTTTAAATTACAACTTCGTAAAACACGTGATCTTTTTGAATTAGTTTGGTTGAGTTTATGGGTTGTTAGGAATTTTATTTTCGGTACCTACTTACCTACTATGATATGCACCGGATAAAAATGCCACTAAGTAGTTGAGCAGTTTTACGTGCTCTAAACAATGGATGCCATTCAAGGTTTTCTTTTATTCGTCGCCACATACAATGCGAGAAGTGCGTAGGCAGTCATAACAACAAGTAGGTAACAGCAACAAAAATCCATTTGGCGAGGGTAAAAAAATACACTGATTATACTACAGTTACAACCGGCGGAAGTTTTCTCGAAGAACAAATTTAATATAGGTACCTACTACCTATCTACCAGCTAAAGAATTATTATATTATTTTCTAAACAATTTGCTTACGTAAAATATAGTATCAAAATATCTACTAGTATTTAATTAATCTGCGTTATTAAAAATTGTAATACCTACTGTTGGTATATTATTATATTACATTATATACCAACTTAGTAGTACTAACCTATCTATCAATATTATGGGAATTATAAATGTTTATATTTATATTTGGTTTGACTTTTAGATTTTACGATAAAATTATTATTATTATCAGTATATATTGAATTAATTTCAATATTATTGCTATTTGTATTTTATATTTTAAACAACAAAATTCAAATATATTTTTTTTATTATGCATCTGTACCAGGGATGGCAAACCTTTTGACACCTGCATGCCCAAAATTAAATTTTTTTTTTTGAGAGCGTGCCGTGAAAAAAATTATAATTCGTTATATTATAATTCGATTATATAATTAATGTATAAAAAGGTTAGCTTAGGTACATAATAATAATAATTATCTACAGATAAAATTGAATAATCGTTAATGACCGATAAAAGCCGTATGCTCAAAATATTTTTACCTATTACCTATATTCTATAATCTATAATATTATATATTAATATAATAATAAATTATATAATATATAATAGTAAAAATTTTCACGTGCCATGGATTTGCCATCCCTGATCTATACTATGTGGTGGTTCTCCTATTGGGCAGGATTTGGACAGTTTTATTTTTACATAAAAATGTAGGTACTTAAAATTTTAAACAGGTTACAATCACAAGTTACAATCTACGGAAATCTATATTAAATTTATTGTATTATTGTAAGATATAAGTTGTTAGAAAAAATAATGACCATAGAGTAATTTATTTTTTATTTATATTACCAAAAGTATTATACTTTTATACTATGTACCTGCAATATGTACCTTACTCATTAAATATAATTTGATTAATAGATAATTTGATGTATGATTTAATATTCAATATATATTTGGAAATAGACAATAGTAGGTAGGTACCTACCTGAAAGGTACTTAATAGACTCATACTTCATAAAGGTACATAAAAACAATAATAAAACATTTACTGATAATATCTTTAAAGTTTAAAGGTTACATTAAACATTTTAATTGTTACGAAAGGAAAAAATCTAGGTTTTTTGTGTAAAATTATTGACACATTATTAGAAATAAATAAAATGATTGAAATAATTATTCATTAGTTATATACTTATATGGCCATCCAAGTCTACAAATATCTATAATATACATGATAGAGACTTAACTATACATACGATGTAAAATGTAAATACGTAACAGGAAAAATGATTCTGCAGCCACGACCTATCAATATCGGGTAGGTACCTTTTATAATTACGTATCTACCGGCTATCTGCAGAAATATTGCGATGAAATATGTATAAACTTGTTGTAGGTAGATACTATATTATTATTTAGAACATCAGACATTGTTACGACACTGATCATACAAAATAGTAGTACACTTTGTTTTAGTGAAATTATAAAATACACAGTAACCACCATAAGTAAATAAATAAAGATAAAATAGTTTAATGCACTAGATGCATTAATGCTTAATGCATTGGACTAAGCACAAGCTAGAGGCGTGTGTAAGTATAAAATTATAAATTATAATAATAAAGTATATAGTAGGTACTAGCCACTAGGTAGTGTGATTATTTATAATGTGTCTAAACGTAGGAACATACAAATTATAATATAACATTTATTTTATAAATTATAATTTATAAAACAAAATGCTTAAAATAACCATGATATTAAACTCAAGTAATTATGTAAACATAAAATACCGAGGAAGTGGCTCTACAATCTGCTGTATAGTATTAAAGGTGTCGAGTGTGCCTCGTCATTGAGTAGACCACTGTAATAGATGTGTTTTAAATTCAATCATAAATCATTGCGTAAACAACACAACTCTCGGTAGAGACAGTCCGTCAGCCTATATTAATTCTAAGGATATTTTTTTTATTTATATTGCTCTAGGTGACCTAACATATGATAAGTTGAAAGATTTTTCGCATATCTACCTATATTATATAATTATATGTCTATATAATGTTAACTGTATTACCTAAAATTATCTGTATTATTAATAAGTCAATAAGTACCTAATACTTATCGTTAAAGGGTTCGAATATGACTGAGGTACCTATACCTCATAAAAGTGTATAAATAGCTTAAGATTAATTTAAATATTTACTGTACCTAGTGGCCACTTGGCCAAATATTAAGTACCAACGAATAATATTTTTGAATTACAACAAAATCACTAGGTACCAAAAAAATTGTTATTATTCTTTTAAGTTGCCCCCCCCCCCCAAAAAGAAAAAATGATAAACTAAATTTAGACCTGGGTTTTCCAATTTCCTATTAAAAATCTCCCTTAAAGATTGAAGTTTTTATTATTTCAAACAGTAATGACAGATACAAAAATAATTAAAATACTGCACACCATTGCGTCTTAAAACCAATACATTCCTCGCCCCGCTCAGAATCTAAAATATAAACGCATTCGTATAGGTATATCTAATCTATATATATAAAATATATGTATATATATATTATAATATTATGATGGGATCAATAAAGTTGGAAAATAATTTTACTGAAAAAAATCGGAAATGCTTGTTGAGACCCGAGGGTGCTAAAAACCTCCCGGCTCCAAGTGTCAACCGCCCCTTAAGCATACATCCATGTTATTTACTTTACGCTCTTGTCCGGAACACAAATATACTTTATGCACGCGAATAATAAAGACCTTCGTTCAATCGATTGCCCTATTTGTATTTTACACTGTTGTATGCGGGTTATCATTACATTAGGTAGTTAGGTAAAATAATATTCTATCACGATTTATGGTGTTTGCAATTTATATTTTATTTCAACAACACCAGGTAGAAGTTGAATATCCGAAAAGTCTCAATGAATTGCAGGCCGCTGTAAAATATAAAATATAATATTTTAATAATTATATTGAGGGAACGAGTACATTTATAAACAAAATACCAAAAATAGAAAAGGGTAATTATAATTCAGAATAAAAATGTTATGGCCACTTTGAGTCTTTGAATATGGCATACTGCAGGTACCCTCGTCGACGCAAATTAGTCGTAATTTTTAGAAGTATTATTGACCGGTGCTATATTGATATGACAAGAAATCGGATAGCGGATAGAATCCAACAATTAGTTAGCAATGTTAGCTGTAAAAGTTAATAAAATTAATAAAATAATAACTATCAAGTACGCCACATTATTGCTTTTTTTGACTATGGTTATTCCTGGAAATTTTTACCAACAAACGGCACAAACTAATTAAGTATTAAGCTATACAGCCAAATCTTTGATATGTAACTGGTCAGCATTTAAACTATAGATATAATGTACATTGACGTAGCTAGGGGGGAGGCTTAAGAGATGCAAGCATGGAAAATAAAATACCGCCTTACAAAAACAAATTGATGATCACGTAATATTAAATTTGTGCTAATAATCATAACGTTTTGTTAAAAAAATTAATCATTCTTTTGAAGCATGACATTCAATAATTATAAAAAAAGATTTTTCCAACAAAATGTAAAATATGCATTAGGTACCGAGAAAAACTCTTTCAGCGAAAAAATGTAATCATCAATTAATAAGAAGTATATCCTCGTCTAATATTAATTTTAGTATGCTATGCGCCTACTCTTCATACATTTTAGATAGGTTTACTACCTAGTAGGT